CATGACTTATGATAATATTTTCCAGTGATCAAAAGGAATGCTATTTTGTTCTCCAGACTTATTTAGTCTAAAATATGTACCATTAAAAGGAGAAACAGGCATGAGTATATTGTAGATTCTTTTTATCAATCATCCGTCACATTTTCCAAAGACTGCCTTTATCTAGAAAGGCTCTGCTACCTGCATTTTGAGCGTATGCTAATTTAAAGTATGCTGATTAGGAGCTATTTCCATTTCACTTTAAAAGTCTAGCTTTCCCTTTGATCATTTTGCATACTTCTTTCCCTTGATGAGCTTGTAATATCTTTAAAACATGATGACAAATAAATCTACTTTGCTTGTTGTTTAAGCTCTTTGAACAGGTTTGTCTACAGAAAGTCCACCTATAACATAATAACATGTTACCCTAGTATTAAACAAACACTAATAAACTGTGGCCACCCTTCTTTCTTTTTATTTTCTTTCCTTTTTCCTTTCTTTCTTTCTTTCTTCCTTCCTTCCTTCCTTCCTCCCCTCCTTTCTTTTTTTCTTTGCTAAAAAGGCAAAACCCTTTTTATTCATCTAGCTTTATAGATCTCTCCATCTTTCAATTTCTTAAAATTGCTACTTTTAATACCTGTATTACATAATGAGATGTGTATTTTGTTAATTTACATTGTAAGCACCTTATTAGTTGAAGCAATGGCACACATGTTTGCAAAATCAAATCTCTACCTCCTCCGCCTCATCAACAGTCTTCCTTGTAGTAATTACTTTCTAGACAAGTTAATTCCTTGGGTTGTTCTATGCCAACTCATGTTCTTAGCAATAGTGTTATGAGACCTAAATCAAATAAAGGTGGGAAGAGATAAGTCTGTAATAAATTCATAGCAAGCCTGGATTATCAGTGATGCCACCGGAATGAATGTTGCAGTTCCCTATGTGATTAGGGGCCTAATGGTGCTTTTGTTGCAACCCATATGTGCAGGTGCACACATACACATTTTGTAGACTGTGATGAAGCTAAAAAGAGAAATGCTTCTGTAGTTGGAGGATGCAAAGCAGGTGATTGCTGATGGGGAGCTCAATGAGGGGTATGGGCATGCACACACATTCCTTCCTCTCTTCCTTGGTCAATGCACATGGTGGTATCAGTGGTCTGTGGAAGTCAGAGCTGAAGCAGTTAAAGGTACTCTAAATCCCATTATCTGTTGTCCATCCTCCAGTATTTTCTGTTGGTCATATTGGGCATATTGAGTATTCGTGCCTAGTTTGGTCCAGTTCCATCATTGTTTGGGTTCACAGTGCTCTCTGGGTGTAGGTGAACTACATCTCCCCTAAATCACTGTCAATTTCTCCCAAACCCCTCCAGTATTTTCTGTTGGTCATGGGAGATCTGTATGCCAAGTGTGGTTCAATTGCATTGTTGGTGGAGTTCAGAATGCTCTTTGATTGCAGGTGAACTATAAATCCAAGCAACTCCCAAATATCAAGGTCTATTTTCCCCAAACTCCATCAGTGTTGAAATTTGGGCATATTGAGTATTCGTGCCAAGTTTGGTCTAGATCCATCATTGTTGTTTAAGCTCTTTGAACTTCCAGAAACTGACATTAAAACAGTTCTCCATCAACACTTGTCCCATACCATCTGTGTTTGTACAGTTAGGGCAAGGATCTGTTAGAAACCAGGGCCGCAATAGGTCATGAGATCAATGCATGAGAGACCTTAGCTGCAGCACTCAAACTGGATTTATCTGGCATGGATAGTGAGGCTGACAGTGATCATTTGATGACAGGGATGCCCCTGACCTTCGAAAGACATACACCCCAGGTAGCGCAAGAGGGAGAGCTTGAAGACATCCCTTCAGAGATGAAAAGGTTGGAACAGAAAGTCAACTTCATGGAAAGGATGCTCCAGACCTTAGATGAATTATATGAGAAAGGAGGTAACGGCATCGTGGATGGCTCTTGCAGAACAAAGGGATCAAAGGCAAAGCCGATCCCAGGGAGAAGCAGCATCCTGGCCATCAGGTTGAGTAATGTTGAGTAATGTTTGCAGACACAGTGGAGGAGGCAGGACAACCAGATGCCTCAGGCTTCCCAAGAGGATTATTGGGGAGAAGCCAATTGCAGATGACATCTGGGAGAGGGGAGCTGTGGGTGAAGTTCAACAGAGACCCAACACAGCCCTCTTACTTCATAACAAATGTACGACATTTTATGGAAGATTATGGGGAGCTTTTTCCTTTGGAAGGGGTGAGGGTTCATGCTGTAGGGCAAATCTGAAAGGGTCAGTGGCTGGATGGATAATGCAAATGTTATTTTATTATTTTGTACTGAAGTGAACCGAGGTAACAGTTAAATGCTGCCTTCCATTCATCTCTCCCCCCTAACACGAATTTTGTAGTACGCCTCCCAAATGTTCACCTGCGTGTATACGAACCCACATGATCTCTTCGATCATCTGGAGAGGCCCTGCTCATGCTCCCACCTGCATCGCAAGCCTGCAGAGGCCCCTCGACTCTGGAACTCACTTCCTAGGGACATCAGGCATGCCCCAACTCTGGCAGTCTTTAGGAGGAGCTTGAAGACGTGGTTGTTCCAGTGTGCCTTCCCAGAATAATGATCCCATAGCACAGATGCCAGTGGGAAGAGGAATAACTGTGAAGCAAAAGACTCCCCAGGCAGCACCAGAAGAAGAGCTGGAAGAGCCCTCTTCAGAAACAGAGGAGGAGGCAAAGGCAGAGTTGGAATGACTCCAGGGAAACAACTATGATCTGTTGTAGCTCTCACCAACAGTTGTCTCCTCACCAGAGCACACCTCCTTCAGTGAGGTTTAACTGCCAAATGGCACAGTTAATAGTGGAATTACAAAACTCAGAAACAGGACAGAGGGTAAAGACTAAGGGATTGTTGAGTTGTAGTTGCACTACAACTCAAATCATTCCCGATTTGATCAAACAATTAGGGGTGAACCCACAGGCATTAAAAAAAACATGTTGTGTTTGCTCAGCTAGATGGCTCCACGGAGGTTCTGGTAACTGAAAAACTACCTTCCTCACTATGAGGATAGGGTCTCACAAAGAGGTCAGATAATTTGTCATCTCAAAAATAGCTCACCACCCCAATCAACCTGGGGGAAGTATGACTACGGGGCCAAAACCCCAAAATTAACTGGAAAACTGAGACATTTGTGTTCCATGATGTGATCTATAGTACCCCTAAGTAATAGTGTCAGCCAACAGGGATTGAAGGGGCAGGATTAAATGTGGCTGCGCCCAACAGAGAGCCCTTAAAGTCAATTCCCCCGAATACTGAGTATTGTAGGTGATTTCTGTGAACAAGAAGCAAACCAGTTATCACCAATAGAAAAACAGTCTGTGCCATAGAGTTGGTTCCTAATGTAAAACTGCCCAGCCCTAAATTATATGCAATATCTCTAACAGAGCAAGAGGCCTTGAGAAAATTCATTCACTAATCTGGTTCAGGGGTTTATTGAACCAGCGAACTCTGCCATGGCAGTGCCAGTCCTCTTCCAGCCTAAATGGAATGGATAGCTGAGGCTTTGTACTGATTATTGGGGCCTTAATGCAATTTGCGCCACAAACAAATACCCGCTTGCTGCTGATCAAGGATATGCTGGACCATTTGAGAAAAAGCAAAGTATTTCACCAAATTGAATAATAATAAATAATAAACTTTATTTATACCCCAGGGGACTCAATGCAGCTTACATGAGGCGGAGCCCAGAATACAACAATACAAGCAATAACAACAACAATACAAGCAATTAAAATCAAACAAGACAATAAAACAATAATATAAGCATTAACAATAGGACAACACACTTTAAAATCTATGGGTAGGCCAAATGTAATTAAAATTTAAAAATAATGCTGGGCATGGACGAAAAAGTGATGGGGCGTTTGTGGAAACATACAAGCAGACCTAAAACAATATAGACTCACCGTCAGCTTTGCTGTCTATGCCAGACAACTCCAGTTCAAGTGTTGTGGCCAAAACCTCTCAAGCGCTCACCTCATGGCCAGCTGCTGCTCCTGTCTCCAGCAAATTTTCTGCCCCCTCAAATGACATGGTGCTCTAACTATACAAATGGTACAAATGGTACAAGACAAGTGTTGATAGAGTCTTATTGTCATGTTCTGGGGCCTCTCCAAATAAACACAGATCACAATTATCAGGAACACTTGATATACTTTATTCTTGGTCACCAGAAAACAAGCAAGATGATTCTAACACACAATTGAGGCGGTGGTTTTTATAGTCCCTTTCACACCAGCCCTCATTCTACTTTTGATTCTTCCTTTCTGGTTCTCAAGACATTAGCCACGCCAGATGGCCTTATAACTCTCCCTCTCTTCTCCCCACATTCCACCATGTCAGAATGACCCATGTGGCCTATCCTCCAAGGCTGGCATTTGGAATCCTGACACCCATTGCATGCTTTAAGATAATATTGGTATTGGTAGGCAAGTTACTTTTAACTGAGATTTCCCAGAATTGCTGGATTTCACACTGAGTAATATAGAGCTTCTAGGGAATATAGAAAAAGCAATGAGCTGAAGCCTTTGTTGCATCATCTGTTGACTGATCCAATTAAAATTTGCTGCAGCTCTGTTTTGATATTGAAGTTCTATGACAGCTTCTTCTATAACACTTATTCCATTACCAGGTAATGATGTGCAGAGGGTTACATTCTAATGCAACAATTTATCAAAAGCCATGACATTATCAATATCTGGAAATTCAACTTTAGCATTGAAGTGATGTCATAATGTATGACATCAACAGAACCCTTGACATGAACCAGACTGTCATAGTTATGGATGTTTTTAATGTTCTGCAACTTTAGCTAGGTACAGCAGCAGGACCACATGGGGTGACACATGTGAGATGCAGCCCTTTCCCCTACTGTGATAGAAGCGGGGTTGTAATTCATCTACTGTTTGTGAGTCTTCTCTTTCCTATATTCTAAGAGAGGTTTTAGATTGAAAGAGTATCATGGATCCTAAAAGTGTTGGTGATCTTCAAGCCTTGCTTGACCTTTACAAACAGGACCCAACACTCCTAAGAGCAAAACAACTTAGTTTCCTGAGAGATTCATTGGAAAGCATGGGAGACACTATTTCAGGCTTCCAGAGAATTGAAGCCTTTCCTTTGACACTTGGTAAAGAGGAAGAGAAGCTATCAGAGCAACCTACAAGTGATGAGAGTGATTTAGAGATGGATGAAGATGGGGTAATTAAACCAGATGAAGACGATCCCCAAGAAATGGGAAATGAAAACCTGGAAGTGACAAATGAAATGAAAGGCAAGGCTGACCAGAAGACAGAAGAGGCTCATTCAGCTCTAGAGGCAGGAGATTTACAGAATGCTATTGATCTGTTTACTGAGGCTATCAAGTTGAATCCACACTCCTCAATCTTGTATGTCAACCGAGCCAGCACCTTTATCAAAATGCAAAAGCCCAATGCTGCCATTAGAGACTGTAACAAGGCCTCAGAGCTCAACCCTGATGATGCTCAGGCCTACAAGTGGAGAGGAAAAGCACATATGCTTTTGGGCCACTGGGAGGAAGCTGCTGAGGACCTTGCCCTAGCCTGTATATGGGATTATGATGAGGAAACAAATGTGCTTCTAAAGGAAGTACAGCCCAAAGCCTTGAAGATGATTGAACATCACACTAAATATAAGAGAAAGCGCACACTGAAGAAGATCCAGAAGATCCAAGATACTCTAGACTGGATCAAAAGTATCTTGGAAGAACAAGAGAAGACACACAGAGAGGAGAATATCTGGCAGTGGATGAATCGAGTCTATCGAAGGTACTTGGACTTTTTTATGGCCATTATAGATCCAAGGATTATCCTTGCCTGGCTGGATGTCACCTGGAACCCAGATAATATCTCCAAATATCGAGACAACCACAAGTTTATGAAGTTCATTGGTCAGGTTGAATGAATGTTTAAGCCGGACATAAATAAGCCTTTCATTAAATTAAAATTGTAGTCTGACTGTGTACCATCAGATGGTGTTTCCTTTTAATGACTATGAATTGATTAGTGTGATTCTTCATTATTTATGTAGATTTGATTTTAAACTATGAGTGATGGCAGCAAATGAACACGATCCTTGATTTCTTTGATGAACTGATGGAAAAGTGAATGGCTGTTATGCTCCATGTGGGCTAGACATAAGACCATTCTAAATTGAGCCCTTTGCTGCTGTCCACACTACCCCAAAGTTGCTGGGTTATTTTGGAAGTTCAGAAAAACTCCAAAGCATCCCCTGACTTTTCCTACCATTGGGCTACACTCCATGGTGCCAGAACTGGAGAAATGTTCTCAGGACAGCCAGGAGGAAACCCAAGCTGAGAGCAGGTTATTGTGGTTATCAATTTAAGTCTCATTTCCTTCTGTTCAATGGCTAGAATGATTTACTCTATTTTTGCCTTAGATGTAAATGCTGAAATGGTCTACTCTTTATTTTAACAATCATGTTGTCAATGCAAATGGAATAGTGGAGTGCTCAGCCATTTGGAATTACACTATGTAACACAATTTTTGTTCTTGGGTTAAAAATGTCATTTTCTAATTGGTTCTATCATTAAAACATTGAAAAGTCTTACTAAACTGCAAAAACATGTTTTTGTGAGACAACTTGCAATACGTTTTGTATAGATTTTCAATAAATATCTCATAGACTCTCAATCAATACAACATAGTGTGTGGCAGCCACAAAAACGAAGTTTTTGGAGTATAACAACGACTTGCAAAATAAGTACCACACAAACAGGAAATAACACTTTCAAACTAGGAACAAATTTTTTCAGATTTTGTTACATAGTGTTATTAATGTAGAGTAATATAAATGATCCACAGACCTAGGAAAATATTGAAATATATTCACTGAGTATCCTGGTAAATGAACACATGATAAATGAGCAAGTGGTACTTAGTTTGAAATGGTATCTCTGTGTGTGAGAGTCTGTGGGTATTCATGTAATCTTGTTGATTTCATAAGAATATACTTGATTCAATTATTCAATTTAACGACTTGTTTTCTTAAATTAGGAAAAATATTTCCAAATATTTGCCAAGAGTGTAGCATTCAAGATTATAAATGTGCAAGATATGAAAATTTTGCCTCTACTTTCTTTATTAGTCTTTGCTCTGCCCCATCCACTCTATCAATGTATTGGTAGATCCTTGTTAGGAGGAGGCGCAATCAAAATGCCATAAATCATTTTTGACAGGTGCTACACCCCCACTACTCTGGTTCATTGCCTGATGAGTTATCCCAATTCCATTAATTATCTGATCATAAATGTGACATTTATGCAAATCTAACAAGCCATGTTGGCAGCCAGTCCAGATATGGCCTATGTTAGGGGTGAGCAATAAAAACAAAATACGCAGCTACTAGGTATGGGAATGCTCTATGTGCTATCTCATATTTTATATGGTAAGCAAAACATAACATTTCTGTATTTTGTCAAATACAAAAAATTCTAACATTATGTTTGTATACATTTGAGCTGAAACCCATCCTTGGAAAAGGTGGAATCATTTCGAGCAATACAAAACATTGCTAATTTGGGCAGCTTCCCCCCCCCCCCAATTCAGCTCCAGCAACTACAATATGTCCATATCTTATATCACACAGGGAGTTTAAAAATAGGATTCACTACAATATCGCAACTAAATGGCTTATCATTATTTTTAGCCCAAACCTCTGGACCAGTTAGGTCATATAATTATAGAATAATAGAGTTGGAAGCGACCACATGGGCCATCTAGTCCAACCGCCTGCATAGAAAAAAGGCCAGAGCATTCCCATTTTAGATTATGTATTCCTGTTAAAACCCCATTTTTGAAGTTAATAACACAAGATCTGTGCTGGCCAGGTGAGACTAAAAACAAGTCTAAGGCCCCTTCTACACTGCCACATTAAATCCAGATTATTTGAACTGGATTATATGGCAATTTATAATACAATTTAAAACCCAAAAATATACAAACATTTAAATAGAATTTAATAACATTAATATTTATTAAGAATAAACAGTTAAAATCCTTAAAACAGATTCAGAACTAAAACCACAGCACCCTCTGACTCATCAACAGCATATTCCTCTTATGTGAGTGAAATACGCAACCATCTTATCCAGCCATCTTACCATTGTTGGCCCTGTCTTATATGAATTTATCTTTTCACAGAACGCAGAAAAATAAAAAGGGCCATATCTTACTACATCAAATAATTTCTCCAACTTCTGCATTTCTTCCTCATCTGGTCTTCAATTAGTCCCAATAAAGACAGCTCAGGTATCAATTGAATATTAATCTTCAGAATCTTTGGTATCAAATAATTTATTTCATGGAGTGTTGTGTGGTTTCCGAGCTGTATGGCCATGTTCTAGCAGCATTTTCTCCTCACATTTCACCTGCATCTTTAGAGGACGCCAGCCACAGATGCAGGTGAAACATCAGATGAAAATATTGCTAGAACACAACCATACAGTCTGGAAACCACACAACAAGCCAGTGATTTTGACCATGAAAGCCTTTGACAATACAAAGGCTTTCATTTGATGTTAATGTTTCTTAGCTTTCCAACCAGTCCCCCACAAGCAATACAACATCTCTTCCTGTTTCTCACATTTTCAACAAACATTAGAAACCCTTTCAGGCACTTTGGCCAAATTTTCTGCAATTAAATACTGATGATAAAACATTCTATACATTGTCTCCTTAAGATCACAGTCAAATATAAATTTCATTGACTTGGGGACATATTATTCCCATTCAAATGTAATTTCCATTCTGTTCAACACTGTGTCATGCACACATTGCAAATCTTCAGCTTCCTTTCTCTATCTAACCTTGCCTATGAAAAAAAATAGCAAAGCTAACTAGAGGTTCTGACTTTCATCTTCCAGCTAGTGAAGTATGAATCTAAAGAAAGAAGTCACCCACAAAGCTATTGCCTCAAACCCTTCCCCCACTTCCACCAGTGAGGTTGAAAATTGGCATTTGGAAGGTGAGAGATAAACCCTGTCTCATGCCCATATCCATTCTAGTAACTAGGCATGTGGAATAAAAAAAAAGTTCTAAACTGTGTTCAAAAGTAGGGGGCACTGGTGTTTCATTTCTAAAGTCGTTTCTGTATTTTTCAAAAAATAAGAATTTTACGAAACTTCCAAATTTTCATAAGTGATTCATTAATGGCGGACACAACTGTGCAATAGGGGGAAAAACAGCACTGGCAGTGGGGAGACATCAGGGGCTCCTCTCACCCTCATTTTTTGAGTTAGCCCAATCAAATTTGCTACAGTGATAGAATATATCTTCCACTGTTAGCTCACCAAATTTAAGAACGTTTAGATGATCAACTGATTTTTAGGGAATTTTAAAAAATGAAAGAATTTTATAAAAAATAATTTAAAAGAGCTACTTCCTTGATTTTTTTAGAGAGTGACACAAGGTAATAGGGGATAATTGTCCCCAGTTTTCAGAAATATTCATACATCTACCAAGTAATGTGAAATTTTTAAAGTTGAAGGTTTGACTAACCTCAATCCAATCAGACCATGCTTGTGAGCCAGCTCAAAATGAAGGGCAGGAGACCACTAGAGGAGACCACCCTCTGACCACATATCCCAACATGGTGATAGCCTTCTGCAAAAGCAAAATTCACATCCTGAGTGCCTATGGCCATCGTAGTCTTGACTGACTTCAATCAAATCAGTCCAGCTAAAAGTGATAAGGCAGGAGACCACTAGGGGAGACCACCCACTGACAACACAGCCCCTCCAGGAGAGAATCCTCAACACAGCCCCTCCAGGAGAGAATCCTGTATGTTACATCATTTACTTTGTTGGAAATTCTAAAGGGCCCAATGTATTTTGGAGACAGTTTCCTGGAGGGTCCACTCAACTTAAGATTTTTGGTGCTCAACCACACCAATTCCCCTTCTTCTAACTTGTCTCCCTCCCTCCTTTTCCTATCCGCAAACAATTTATATTTTCGTTGGGCTTCTCTAAGTGACTTCGCCACTTCCTCCCAGCTCGCCTTTATCTTGTCTGGCCACCCTTCCTTTCCCCAGGGTTCCTCCTCCCAACTCGGCAATTTTGGAAATGGGGTCACATCCATTCCGTACACTATTTCAAAGGGAGATTTACCTGTGGACGCGTGACATGCTCCATTG